ATGACTTGTGAGACCTATGTGAACCTAGTGCTCTGATAGCATGTTGTCATGACCCAATTTCCATTTAAGTCGTGATGATGCCCAACACCGTTGTTAGGAAAGCCAACCCTAATCAACTAGAGAGTTCTCATTTACTTTTACCAAACAATCCCAACATGCTCTAAACTTAAATTCAAAACAAGAGTTAAATTAATCAATCCATAATAATAGATATACAACCCAAAATGATAGTCTACCAATGTGTGTGCCAGAAACCGGTGTCACAAGTACTAGGGCAACTAGAATGTACAAAAGAATATAACTACCCTACTGTCTGGAATATGATAGACAGATATAACAAAAGAAGAGAAGAGACCCCGACATGATGTTGAACGACTCAGAAGGGGTAGCTCACCGTGAAATCTCGATCAAGTATCAAGGGTGCGCGCCGGCTGAATAGCTAGATGCACTTGCCTCAGATCCTGTATAATTAAGTACAGAAGCATAGTATAAGTACATAAAAAATATGTACCCAGCAAGTATCCAGTCTAACCTCGAAGAAGTAGTGATGAGGGGTCGATTTGACACTTACTAAGGTCAATATAAATGATATTTAAGGATTTTGCTAAGCATGGATAGCATAAATATAATAGCAATCTCAGAATCAAGGAGAGAACGATATATCAATTTCAGTCATGTTATAAAATAATTTGCATTTTAAAGCATTTAAACAGAGTAAATCATGGGCAAATTCCACATAAATAACATGCTCACATTATGCCGAGGTCGTACGGCCCAGTCCAACAAAAATATAATTGTGCACTGCTAGAGGGTCGAATGGCGCGAACCATAGATGCATCTATTTCTACTGAGGCGATTGACCTGATTCACAAATAGCAATTATAATCAAGAAGGCACATAAAGGTGCATTTATAGTCGAATAAATTCATACAAGTTCTCAAGTAGGTGCGTACATTCGTTTATATTGATTTTCAATCCCTAACATGTCCTAAGTGATCTCAGCAGCCTGCAAGAACATGAGCATTTGCAAGTATGGCATAATATGGGTCCTAAAATACCCGGACAATTAGCATAGTAGTAGCTACGCACGGACTCTCGTTACCACGTACGTACGTAGCCCCCACAGACAATCACATACATTTGTTTAATTCACCTAGGGGTTTAATTCTCTCTTACAAGGTTAGAAAGGAGACTCACCTTGCTCCAAAGCTTACTTCCAAATTCAAGAACGTGCTCAAAACCCTCAATTCAGAGCCGAACGATCCAAAACTAATCAAATGGGGTAAGAACTAGTTAATACAAGCTCAAGAGTTCATATTCTAGCTATTAGAGTAATTTTCCAACCATAATGCGAAGTTCCTAAAATTCATCCCCAGGCCCACGTGCCCGAATTTTAGAAATTTTTGAAGAAAGTTATTACCCATAACCTAAGGATCAAGAATATATGATTTTGACTCCATTCCATAACAAATTTCGTGGTTAGATCTTGTTTTTATCAAAACCCTAGGTTTTACTCTAATTCCATGATTTTCACTAAATTCTATGTGTTAATCTACCCAAAACCCAAGTATTAAACTCACATTAAGTGGAAATAACTTAACTCACAATGCTAGGTTGAAATCCCCTCTTTGGAAGCTCCCAAATCACCTAAGTGTAGAAGTGAAATGAAATAAATGGCCTAAATATTTTTAAAAGTTGTGTCCAGATCTCTGATGTTGCATTTGCGACATCAGGTACGCAAATACGAAGGTCGCAATTGCAAAAAAACCATCGTAAATGCGAACCTGGGCGTCCCTCTACAATGATCGCAAATGTGGATCCTGCTGGGTTCGCAAATGCGACCATTGCCCCAACCCAGGCTTCATCGCAATTGAGAAGCCTTCCTCGCAAATGCGAACAATTCCTCGCATTTGCAAGACCTGCAACTCTGCCCAGAAACAACAGAAAATCTGGGATGTTTTCACTCCCAACTCACGTCCGAAACTCACCCGAGCCCTCGGGGCTCCACTCCGAGTACTCACACAAGTCCAACAACACCATGCAAACTTGCTCATATGATCAAATCACTGAAATAACATCTAAAAGTACGGATTTAATACCAAAACACATGAAATCCTCAAGAATATTTGAAATTCCTATTTTTACAACCGGATGTCGAATCACGTCAAATCAGTTCCGTTTCTCACCAAATTTTATATATATGACTTAAATGTTATATTGGACCTGTACCGGGCTCCGGAACCAATATACAAGCCTGATACCAACATGATCAAACATTATTCAATTTCTTTAAATCCTTAAATTTTCAGTTTAATAATTTTTAACAAAAATTCATTACTCGGGCTAGGGACCTCGAAATTTGATTCCGGGCATACGCCCAAGTTTCATATTTTACTACGGACCCTCCAGGACTGTCAAAACATGAGTCCATGTCTGTTTACTAAAAATATTGGCCGAAGTCAAACTTGGCCTTTTAAGCTAACCTTAAGGAACCGAGTGTTTCGATTTCAACCCGAACTCTTCCAAATCCCGAACCAACTATCCTCACAAGTGATAAATCAGTTAAAGCAAGTACAAAAAGTTTTATTTAGAGGAACAAAATTCTAGAAAGTAAAACGACCAATCGGGTCGTTACAAGTAGTGAGCTTCATTCTTACCAATGCATATGGTTCTTTGTTGGGAAGATTGAAGTCTGAAGATGTCCTAAGTGTTTTGACTCGCTTATACAATAACTATAATAACTCTTTCTCTGAGGCTTTTTATGACAATATTGGAGGTGATATTAGTATGAGTGAAGCTGGTGATCTGTTGCAATCTAAGTGGGAGAAGCTTTTGGAAGAGGAGGGAGATATTAAGAAAAAGTCTGATCTTGAGATATACTTGATGGATGATGTGGTGAAGACCAACAATTTTAATATATTGACATGGTGAAAAGCTTCATCTAGTAAATATCTAATAGTTTCAAAGATTGCAAGGGATGTTCTTTCTATTCCTATTTCTATTGTTGCATCTGAGTCAGATTTTAGTACAGGTGGTCGAGTTCTTGATTCTTATCAGAGTTCTTTATCACCAAAAGCAGTAGAAGCTCTTATTTGTACTCAACAATCGATACGGTCACCTTCCAAGGAATACAAGTTTGAAGACATGTTGGAGGAAGTCGAGAAAATTGAGCAAGTTGAAGAAGGTAATAATTTATCTTTGATTCACAATGAATATAGTTATTTTTGTGTATTACTTAATATTAAATATGTTAATTATTTTTTTTATTTCAGAATATCTAGACTCACCTTTCAGGATTGAATAAAGGGATAATTAAGTACAATTTGCTCCAGGACTATTTTTGGAATTTTGACCACTTCAAGATAATTAAAAGATGTTCTATTAGTTTCTTTACTTTTGTGTATAACCTTTCTGTTTAGCCTAAAGTATTTTATTATTTACAAATGTTTCAGGTATTACAAAAGATTATCCCAAGGAAAAGGATGGAACTGCAATGGATCTCCCAAAGATTGGAATTTGGGCCATTATGCCTTTACTAGAATTCTGGAACATGCTCTTGTGGATTAAGATGCCCAACTTCTTAAAGTTTAATATATTCTTTTTTTGTTTATTTTCTATAACTCTGGGATGTAGTGTCTACTCTTAAAATGTTGGTGATAATTCGTATGTAGAGTGCAATATAATTTGCAGTTTATCTTTTTGGCATGACTCTTAGCTGTAATTCTATGAATCTTGGCTGTTAGTATTTGCAAATGTTTCACAGTTTCAGGTATTTCTATGACTTTTGGCTGTAATTCTATGACTCTTGAATCCTTTTTAGCATTGAGACTGTAACACAAAATGGATTATCACATTCGTATATTATCACCAATGGTTTAAGTTGTAAGGAATGACTAAATATCCGGTGCACTTATATCTTTTCTTAAAGATGATAGAAGTATTTATGCATAACTTTAAGGTGTAAGAATTTAACAAATGGTTCAAAGGAATGAGTAAATCTCTTGGCACTTCAATCTTTTCTTGAATTTTCTGGAAGTAATCGTTCACATATGGTTGTAAGCAGCATAATTTTACACATTCTCAGTTTGCATGTTTTGAAGGATTATCCTATTCTATTGTTGGGCTAGTTTTTTTTGAAAGATTTCATTAGAGATAGAAGAATACGATGATAATTGGTATCAAAGATTAAAGGAAGGTCATGTCAAGGAAATGATTTCAGGTAAAGTTTATCGTTGTCCATTCTATACTGGAAGAAAATAAGCAAGCCTACAACATTAACGATCTCGTGCAACATTCTTCAGATGTGAGCAAAGGCTCAAAAGAAAGATACTAAAGAAATATTTTGGAGTATAAGCTTATCGGAATCAGAAAAATCCGTAGAAAATCGAGATTGAAAAACCCGACTTTTACTGCTACCCGATATAGTTGGTTTGATTTGGTTTTGATAAAAATCGGACCAATCCGGTCCATGTACACCCCTACTTCTTTGGTCTACCTCTACATCTTCTCAGCCCCAATAGGGCCAACCTCTCACACCTCCTAACTGGGGCATCTGCATTTCTCCTCCTCACATGCCCAAACCATCTAAGCCTAGCTTCCCGCATCTTGTCCTTTACCGAGGAAACTCCCGCTTTAGCCCGAATATCTTCATTTATGATCCTATCCATCATCGTAAGCTCACACATCCATCTCAACATCCTCATTTTTGCTACTTTCATTTTCTGGACATCCGAGATCTTGATTGGCCAACACTCAACCCTGTGCAACATAGTCGGTATAACCACTACTCTGTAAATTTTGTCTTTAAGTTTAGGTGGCACATTTTTGTCGCATAAAATACCGGATGCGAGCCTCCACTTCACCCATCTCGCTCCAATACGATGTGTAACATCTTCGTCAATCTCCCCATTTTCTGGGATAATATACCCAAAGTAATAAAAGGAAAAAGTAGATAGAGGGATTAGTTATTTGAGATCTGTAACTCTTTTAATCAAGTGGTCTAGCTCAAAAATAGCTATTATATATATTGAAAAGAGATTCCGAACAATTACATATATCACACATTCAAATGAAAATTTTCAATGAAAAGGATAAAATGGATTACAAAAACTCATCACAAAAGTTCATGAATAGAAAAAAGAACATACAATTGACATGCACCATACAAAAAAAAAAAAAAAAAACTTATAAGTCCACGTGACAAGTGGTGGTCTGAGAACTCTTTGTTGAAGAAACAGGCACCATAGGTTTACACAAAAGCTTCAACTTCCGATGACTAGATTTCCAAATTCCAACCTTAAACCTTATCTTAGCCCTAACTTTGATCACCATTTCCACAGCTCCGGCCGTCCTCTCCGTCTTCAAATCACGAGCAACATCGCCGTACAACGCCACGTCTTTCGCCGGAAGAAAAAGATCCAAATAAGTAACGTTACGACGAGGCTGAAAGAATGGTTCCACATTGTTGAAAGCAATTTGTTGAGAGTTGTAAAACAGTTTCACTTCAATACTGTCATAATATATGGAAACCCTACTATTGGTATTGAAAGCTTTTAACGTGAAGTTGAAATTTCCATACAAATGGTCATTTTTGGTCATGTTGTAGCCATGCAATGAAGCATTTTCAATTGAGTAAATTGGTTTTCGTGGCTTCACTGCTAACCAAATGACAAGTATTGTTATGCCTACGATGACGATTAGGGTTAAGAGTATAAGGGCTATGCATTTCAACGGGCTGAGCCGCCGTGGCTTGGCGCTGTTTTGCGGCGGTGGTGCGGTCACAACGGGCATTTTGACGGTGGAGATTGTGGAATGAAGAAGTTGCTACAATTGATCAAAATTTTGATCAATGTAACTAATTATATACGAAAGAAAAATTAGAGAATTTTCATGTGGAGAAGCTACTGTACTTTTTTCTAATTTCAAAGTTGTTCCATTATCTAGGGAAAAGAAGATAAAGGTTAAAGGTGACAACTATGTCTTCTTTTTCTTTTAGGCTTTTGGTTCCTTGACTGTAACTCAAGAGATCTAAGAGTTGCCAACCGGTGCGGAGCTAGAGCACGACCTAGATTCGACTGAAATCAGTAGCTTTTATCCAAACTATGTAGTATTTGTCTGAAGAAATTCATCGAATATATGCAATTTATTAATTTAGAACCCAGTCAGAAGCGGATTTAAAGTTAATGAGTTCCTATAACGATCTCAAGTTAATATACAATAGTTTATGAGTTCCCAATATAATAGTTATAGATACTTAATTAATTTCTTAATATATGTACGTACAAGGTATGAATAAAAGTTACTGGGTTCCGGTGAACCTGATTTTCATGCTTTGGATCTGCCCCTGAACACAATAACTTAAACAGATTAGATTCTCGAAATCATAAACCGCAAATCCTAACTCCACCTCTAGTTGCCAACTCCAATTATCCAATGAATATGTGTCGTTTTTTACTTTTTCTGTAATAACTTTTGTTATTCTATTGAAGCGTATATTTTCCTTTGTTAACTCATAAAGACACACAGTAATTATTGCATGAATATTCTTATCTTGCATGAAGAAAAAAGACAAGGAAAGGGTGCGTATTACTATATCTTGTTGATATATATAATACATGCTTAGTTAACAAGTTATTCGAAAACCATCTCTCTAAAGTTATTCTTTAAAGATGTTAATTTGATAGATATGCCTATGCATGTTCTCAAAATAGACAGAAAATAATTTATCTAACGAAAAAGTTTGCTATATATGATCTAAAAATGGGAAAAAACACTTTTTTTAATCATGTAGTCATTTTTTTCGGTTAGTTTCCCCACTTCTGGTTTTTGGTTTTTTCTTTTTCAGGAGCATGCGACATACTACTATAATATATGTAAAAATAGCATGGGCTAACCAGTTTTTGGACTGATTATTCAAAAATAGCCAACGTTTGCAAAGTCATTGAAAAATAGTCACTATTTTACTGCAACACGGAAAGTTCCTGCATAATATACTAGCCATCGGTGCACCTGTATGTGAACTTCCAGCATACTATGCTAGAACTTCAACACGCGAAAAATTCCAACATAATATACTGGAGATTGGAGCAGCTGTGTATAAACTTCCAGCATATTATGCTGGACCGGTATATTATATTGGAACTCCAGTATATTATGCTGGAAATCCAATATATATACTGGAATTCCAGTATGCTTATGCTGGAACTCCAGTATAATATACCGGTGTATTTTCCGTATTTTGAACAGTGTTTTCGTTCAGATTTATCTTTATATGAAAAATGGTCAAATTTCGATTACTTTTGAAACTGTGGCTATTTTTGAATAACCACTTTTTGAATTTCTACCATAATATATAGTACTATATAATATAACCTATAAAAAATACATTACAACAATGAAACAGGGTTTTACATTTGAATCAAGACCTTGTCAAAAATTAAAAAATTATTTGGTGACTCATACCTACAACTCTGGGGTTGTAGCTGGGGTGCTGACCATCTGAGCAACTCCTTGTTACACTTGGTTTAATCAAAGATTAAACGTCCTTGTATAACACATGGGTCAAAATAGGAATAAAGTAGTAATAATTACTCATATATATTGACCAAAACCGTTATTTCCCCTTATATATATATAAGAGGGCATGAAAGAGATGACTTGACACATCTCTTAGGCCAAGAATCACATTTATCTTTTTTCTCAAATTTTTGAATTTTTACTTACTTTTTCTGCATATTCCCATTTATTATAGTATGATATTTAAGAAAACTCAAAAGTCACGTCCCACATTCTCTTAATTATACGTCTACCGGAAAGTCACGTCCTACAATCCTCCTCTACAATCCTAATTAACCATTCCAAAATTGTCTGTTTGCTTTCCATTGTTTACTGTGGGTAATTTATTTAATTGAATTTATTATATCATTATTGCTGACTACCGTTTGTTTTCTCTGAGAAACTCAAATAGTATCAATTTATTTTAGTAATCACCACAATAATATCGCGATAATCACTGTATTAATATTGCAAAATTCCTCAACTACTCTATATCGAATATTTAAGGACAGAAACTGATCCAACAACCAATATGGATGTGAAACAGAACACATGATCTAAAATTTTATGAAAACAAGATCATACAGGTTCATATGCTTGAGGAGGAAATCAATTTGTAATCATCGAGAAGCAATTGCACTCCGCCTGCTTGCAAAACCGCACGTTAGAGTTGGTTATTCAGAGGAAGCAACATTTTACTGAAGTAATATCTTATATCTAAGAGCACAATTCTATTCTGGATGATGGTTAATGTGATAATTTTTTTGGTTTCCAAGAAGTGAATAAAAGGAAGAAAGTTAAATTTGGAAATTATCCCCAAAGTTCTAGCAAGTTCAATTCTTGGAATGTCTCTAAGAACAGATAGGATGAAGTGAAAACTATAATATTATCCGCATAATATTAGCATAATTCCATCCATTGAGTGAATATGTCCTTAGAACAAGTGCTATAAGACTTCTCGCATTGAATTTTGGGATATCAATGTGAGGAAAAACTATGCAAAACTTACAGGAAGGTATAAGAAATATTGATTTTAGTATCCATTTATTTACGCATTATATATTCATGTGTTATTTTTCATAAATTTCTATTTATTTTTTTTAAATTATAGGAAGAAGAATGCTTTGAAAAAGCTAAGTTCGGACGTAGACCGTGAGAATGGCATCGTTTTTCCTTTTTCATTTCTTTTTTTTGTCTTCTTTCCTTTTAAGGTTGTTTTCTTTCAAATTATACGGGCAAGTTGTCTTTACTCTTTTTTATTATTCTTGATTTTCTATGTTTACCTATTCAAGTTAAAATGCGCAATGAATTGTTTTATATTTAAATTAAAATATCCCTCAGTAAAAGACATCAAAAGTATAGGGTGGCTTTTTCACAAAGTACATAAGAATATTTGGACTTCTTTTATTTCCTTTTAAAACTTATAAAACTGGTTTTTGCTCATATTTTAATTTATTAATATGTTCGCGCGGACAAATACAGTAGTTAGTAATCTATATTATTATAAAAGCATGAATATAATGTCGGTTTATAAAAATAACCTTATAATATTAAGCATAATTACTCACAATAGAAGGACATAATCGGAACTCTAGATATTTGTAATCCTATTAGCTTTTGGATATAATACTACAAGTTAGGAATCCTACATTATTACCATTCTGAATCTTATTTGTATAATTAATTTAGAGTATAGAAATATAATACTAGGGTACGAATTTGCTTCAATAACTAAAGCTCAATTAATTTTCAATACATATCTAGATGGCAGCCATGTTTCCCTATGAAAATTTAATGGCCTTGATTTCATCTTCTTTTTCTCTAAACATCTAAACCAATTTTCTCATTCAAGACAATGAAAAAAATTATTGAACCCGACACAAAGTAATGAAAAGCTCACGATACATATTTTTTTTCCTTCAAATTTGAAAATCATATTCACTAACAAAATCTCCAATATGTTACTATTGTTTTTCAAAATGGTAAACAAAGAAACAAGCTTCATGGGAAATGAAACTGAACGACAATTTTAATTATGAGTGTTAGAGCGAAGAAGAAAAAGATTTTGTGTGAGTTTCTCTATCTTCTCTGTAGTCTACAATCTTTTTCTCTACAACATTTGCTCAAGTTTCTCGCCCTTGGGCTTCGACAACGTCCGTGCATGTTGTCATGGAACTCGAGATGAAAAGGAAGGGGTATATTTCAACTAAATTATTTATTGAAAAAAGTAAAACGGATTCCTATTCCAAGCTAGATACGGAAATGGGAGCCTACAAGCACTACAAAAAAAAAAAAAAAAAAAAAAAAAAAAAAAAAAAATTAGCTACGAACGTCGTCGTTAATCTGTCGCTAAAATGCTTGTAGCTAGCAGAATCTTTTAATAATCCATCGCTAATCCGTCGCTAAATGAGATTAGAAAGTTTGTTGGCCGAGCATATGGTGGTGTTCCTTTATCTTCATTCTTTATTTGGAACATGTTAGTACATATTAGCATGTTAACTTAATACCTTTAGAAACACGTTAGCTTTCCTATTAGAATAATTACTTTCGAGATAAAGAATTTTTAGTCATGTAGTTCTATTACTTTTAGGATATACTTCTTAAAAAATTCTATTACTAATTAATTTGAAAACGTATTATACTGTGATATTACTAATTTAATTTGAGAATGTATTATATTATCCAAATTCATTTAGAAAAAAGGAGAGCTTATACTATTATAAAGGCATGAATACAATATTGATAGACCAAAATAGTCCTAAAATATTAAATAGAAGAAATTATAGAAAAAGAATTAAAATAACATATTTTTTTGGACTACAAGACATTCTATGTTGATTTTTTAATATTTAATATTTTAAAAATAATATATTTTGTCAATTAAATTTTTATAAAATATGCAGGAAGGCTGAATAAAATCAATTTCATAAGAATCCTCCGTACTGACAGTACATTACCACTCCATAATATCTAATACTAAGAGAAAATAAAAGTAATATTAAATGGACTACATAAAGTGTTGAAATTGAGAGAAAATATCCTCATATTATATTTGGACTATTTTCCTACTCAAATAATATATCTTTTAATCAATTTTCCGGATAATATTAAAAAATATACTCAATTATTAAACAACAACTAAGAAATATTTAAAAATATAAATGTGTGAGAAATAGAAAGAAAAATGGTTGGTAAGAGTCAATACCACTAATGATTCTATACACATAAAGTGAAATGTCATATCGATCTTTTTACTCTTTGAAAAGAAAAGTTTGGTGGATAAAATAATAATTAAGATTAAATCTTCTAAATAAGAGATGACTAATATTAAAAATCCGAATCAACATAAAATAAATTATTTTTGTCTAAAGACCAAATAATTAAATCTTCAAATAATTATTTAGCAAGAGAATCCAATTAATTTTTTTTTAAAATTTATCATATGAGTAAAATTAATTTTCAAGTTAAGAAAAATCTTAGGGTATATAAATTTATTCCATAAAAAGAGTGTTAGAGATTAAAAAAATTTAAACACAAAGTAAAAAAATGTTATTATAGTATTAAGAATCAAACGGCCATACAAGTGTATGTTTGAGCACAATCAAAGCTAAATTCTGAACAAGAATAAGTTTTTAAGACTATATTATAAAGAGCCGACTCTTATAGCGGGATTATCCTTTGTAGATGCCTCCGGCAGAATCAAAATAACATTTCTATGTCATGCATTACTTGAAAATGTCAAATCAAGAGGCATGATATTGCTAGCAATAATAACAAAAAGATTTGATATACCTCTTCAAACAATTGAAATAACCATCATAAATATATCAAAGAAGAAAATACTGCTAAATTTATAAGAAAAGCAAAATTGATAATATCATCGCTTATGGCGCTAGAGATATATTGAATACAGTGAACCATTTGGTGAAAAACTAATGGCTTGGAAGGTAATTTCTGTCAGTACTATATATCAATAGTTACAAAATCGATGAAAGCAATGACCATAAAAACTAGCTTGACAAAATTATACTTGTGGACTCAAATTAAAAAGATTCAACTAACAAGAAATATAAGCAACAACAGGTCTTTAGTAACTTCTTGCTTCGTGTCAGAAATGAAAAAGAGCATCTAATAAAAGATGATTTGGATCTTTCATAACACTTGGTTATCAATCCCAATTGTAATAGTAGTGCATTTAATAAGAAAAATATTTCTATCAATAGATTAAAATGTAATTTATCCAAATTGCATGATAGAAATTAAAAAGCTATCTTAGCTAGCAGAAATAAATGTATTGATCAACTAAACAAAAGGTTGATTGAAAAATTTTATGGTAAAAATAAGATATTTTTCAGTTTTTGACTTAGCATACAAATAATTACTACCATGAAGAATACTTAAATACTTTAATACCAAATGACCTTATACCACACAAATTTATTGTCAAGTTTATTATTTCTTATGTATGTCAGTGTCATCGTATATGTAATACATTAAGTTAAAATTGCTCTTCCTTTACATATAAATTGATTTGAAGAAAACTATGCTCGTCATGCTACTGAAAATCTTAGATCCACTGAATAGCTTATATAATAGCACATAGATTGTATATAGAAGTTTTGACAATAACGTCATACATGCAAAAATTATGATGCTGGTCAATGTATTTCTAAGTATATTATTATCCCTGAATTCAACTTTCATCTTCCGAAACTAGAGAATATCCTTTTAAATTTGTGTGAAAATAATTTTCGGTATGTTTATGTTTTGCAATTAAATAAATAAAGCACAAGGACAAACATCCTAAATATTGGACTTTATTTATCGCAATATATTTTTTTGCACGAACAAAAAAATATCAATATCGACAACAAGAGTTATGGTTGTGGTAGAGCAACCAAAGATTTAGAGGGAAACATATACAAAAATATCATCTACAAAGAAGTGTTCGGTAAGATACCACCAAATTAAATACTTTTAAACTATAATTCATAATTATCTAACACGACTAAATTGATCATTTGTGTAAGTTCCGATGATGTCCTTTTATTTTGAATTCACGTATTATGCTAATTTAATGATATTTTCCAGCTTTCAGATGATTTAAATGGTTAAAAACCATCGTGTATCATTATTAACGAGCAACGCACATTCATAGATATTGATAACGAAAAAAATAGTAATTAGTCCTTAATATTAGAGGAATATGAGGAAGGAAAAGACGACTCATAGTTGCTTTGTTAAAAAAAAGCTATTATCACGTAAACATGTTTTCTCCTTTCTTTCCTTTGAGAATCCTCCCTGCCCTTCTCCTAAAGGTATCACCTCTTCTTCTTAATTTCTCTCTAATTCTTTGTTATCATTCTTAATCTTTGTTTTATATATTATTATTACCATGCATCATATTCATTGTTAAGGAAGAAAATTTGATGATGTTTTATGATAATCCAACATAGTGGCATGTTTTTACATTTGATTAATTAGTGTCATGATTTCTTCAACAGGATTGATTATTTTGGGAGAGTGGCAAGGATCTATACGATGTCTTTCTTTTACCCATAGGATTAACTAGGGCCTCATAAAAAATGTCTTCATCTAACGACGATTCATCACCTAGTCCACCTTCTGCAGATAGTAATAGCTCTTCTTCTAACGATAACAATAACAACAATAACAATAACAATAATAACGACAATAACAATAATAACAACTCCCAACATTCGTCTGATTCATCTAAGGGAGGATCGCAATCCTCTCCACCCCCGCCACCGCCTCCTCCACTGCCACCACCACCACCTCCACCGCCGCCACCCCTACCAGACTCTCATTCAAGACATAAGTCACCACCACTACCAAAACATTCTTCAAATGATAGTAACAATAATCATGAGAAAGCAATACTTATAGGAATTGCTGCAGCAGCAGGATTATTACTTCTTGTTATGCTAGTTTTTGTCATATCTTGCTGTAAAAGGAAAAGAAGAAGACCACGTGATCAAATGGGCTTCTACAGGGATAATTCTTATAGAGCCAAGGGTATAAATGTTTCTCTTTTCATCTCTAATTACCTTATATTATATATTGTTATGTTATTGATATAATGTGTTTTGAGGATAAGTGCACAGATAGCCATTCTCAGGGATGCTATTTAGAGATTAATCGGTACTTATTTTGTATAGAAATTTTAAACTAAAAATCTTAACTTCAGGACAATTTAGGGCATATTTGTCTCGAAAAACTGAACTAAAGAACTGAAATGCAGGACGCACCGGCTAATTCCTAAATAGCAGCTCTTTAAAATGGCTACATGGTGTCATTTCTACATGTTTTTTTTTCCTAACATCATATCTTAGCTATATAAATAGATATTTTTCATCTTTTTTCCAGACGGAATGCAATGCCTAAATAATGAAAATCTTATTAATCAAGTCCATTATTGTTGTGCTTAACAATTTAACAATTGTACATTGACAATATAAAAGTTATTTATACTGTCAAGTCATTTAATTTAAAAGATTATTAAGTGTAGTGACTGATAATAAGTGAAATTAATAACATGAAAAATAAGGTACGTGACCTTCTACTGTGAATAAATCGAAGTAGATAATTCTTTAGAAGGGGAGCCTTGGAGCAACGGTAAAGTTATCTCCGTGTGACCTATAAGTCACGGGTTCGAACCGTAAAATCAGTCACCGATGCTTGCAACAGGATAGACTAACTACATCACACCCTTTGGGTACGGACCTTCCTCGAATCTTGCATGCACGCGGGTTTTCGTGCACCAATCTGCCCTTTTTTTCTTGTTAGCTTTTCTTATTATTGCCATTTAATTTGTTGGTTTGCCACTAAACCAAAGTTTTCATATATTAATTTGTACAGGTGGTGACTATTATAACAATGAACAACAAGGGAATTGGAACAACAACAATGTCCAATCTTCAGAACATGTTGTTAAAATACTCTCTCCAACTAACAGTGCTGGTGTAAACTCAGAATATAGCTGGCCAATAGCACCACCACCACCGCCACCAATGAGCAATACGAGCTCTGCTAATTTCTCTGGCACGCAACGTAGCAACACGAGCTCTGCTAATTTCTCCGGCACACAACAACAACAACAACAAAAACGAAAACCTCCGAATATGCCACCTCAAAGCCCAACAAATATATCATTTGGTCTTAACCAAAAAAATTTAACTTATGATGATTTAGTAACTGCAACTGGAGGATTTTCTAAGGCTAATCTTCTTGGACAAGGTGGTTTTGGATTTGTACATAAAGGGGTTTTACCTAATGGTAAAGAGATTGCTGTAAAAAGTTTAAAATCTAATAGTGGACAAGGAGAAAGAGAATTTCAAACTGAGGTTGAAATTATAAGTCGTGTACATCATCGACATCTTGTGTCTTTAGTTGGTTATTGTATTGCTGGATCTCAAAGGATGTTAGTCTATGAGTTTGTTCCTAACAACACTCTTGAATATCACCTTCATGGTACGATGTTAACATTACGTAACATTGTGTTTAGTATGACAGAAGTCATTTTCTGCGAAAAATATTTTTCATGAAAAAGTAATTTGTTTTCTCTAGCCTGAAAATATACTCTTTCAAAGTATCTTCATGGTATGATTTTAACATTACTTAACACTGTGTTTAGTATGGTAGAAGTCATTTTTCGCGAAAATGTTTTCCATGAAAAAGTAAGTTTTCTGGGGCTTTTTCTAACCTGAAAATATTTTCAAGGAAAACATACTTTTTCAAAAAAATATTCAATGGAAAATGAATTTCATCATACCAAACACACCTAAAACTGTAATATTCTAATTTAATTATTTTTTTAAAAATGTTACTTAACAGTGTATTTAGTATGACAGAAGTCATTTTTCGCGAAAATATTTTTCATGAAAAAGTAAGTTTCTGGGATTTTTTCTAACCTGATAATATTTTCAAGGAAAACATACTTTTTCAAAAAATATCTTCAATGAAAAATGACTTTCATCGTACCAAACACACTTTTAAACTGTAATATTCTTATTTAGTTAAATTATTATTTTCAAATATGTTAGTCCTTTCTTTAAAATTAATCTCTTTTTACATCCTTGTGTAGGACCTGGTAACCCAGTAATGGATTTCCCTACGAGGATTAAAATTGCAATAGGAGCAGCCAAAGGGTTTGCTTATCTTCATGAAGATTGTAAGTTTATTTATTTATAGTTTTCCCTCTAGATAATTGAGATTTTTCCCTTCGTGGCTAAGTACTCTTTATAAAGAGTTCAAGTTAAACCCTTAAAATGTTAAATCAAATACATAGATAATATAAAAAAATATTTACATCATCAATTGTAAAAGGCAGCTTGGTACACAAATCATCTCGCGTTCACGCAGGTTCGGAACGGAAATGAAAGAGGTGGGCGAAATTACGTGAGAGAAAGAACTTCTTGGTGGAGTCCAATCCTCCGGAGGACAGAACAACACTTCTTAGGGACTAGGAGCGAAGAGCCCGTTGCAGCTTGTTTTTCTTTGACCGGCCTATTTTCTTTCTATAAGCAAGCTTCCTCTGGCCGTCCAGTTCCTGGACGGCTCTTGGTTCTTGAGCATGTTGGGGGATTAGGAGGTAGTTGAAAGAGTTGCTCGGGAAGGCCGGACACAGCTCAAGGGGTGTGATATAAACAACTTACCTCAATGCAAGTATTAATGGTTGCTTGCACGACTTGAATCTATGATCTATAGGTCACATGCATTATTACATCATAAGTTGTATATAACATAAATCCTTTTATAAATTGCAGGCCACCCTCGCATTATACACAGAGACATTAAAGGTGCAAATATCCTACTGGACAACAACTTTGAAACCAAGGTATATACATAAGGTACTAATAGAGGTATTTCCCTTTAGCTTAATACAATGTTATGGTCCTAAGTCTTAACAAATATTTTTACAATCAGGTGGCTGATTTTGGGTTGGCTAAGCTTTCAGCAGATAACTTTACTCATGTGTCTACCCGTATAATGGGAACTTTTGGGTAAGCAGTCTAAATATATGATTTAATTTGCTTTATCTTTTTGTTTAGTTGTCATTTAATAATAACAGCGAATTAGTTGCTTTCTATTATTGAAGGCGTGGAGGTCGAGAATTAGGGTAAAAATGCTAGGTAGTCGAGTGTTTTCCTTGTTCATACTAGTATTAGCAGTGCTAGTCTTGTATTTTCTTATTCGTAGATTTCTGTTACTATTTATTATTTCTTTCGCTTCGGTTTTCATGTTGGATTGCTGGTGTTACTACTCGTTGTTACTTCTTTTTTTCATTTTTTATTGAGTCGGGGGTCTACTGGAAATATCATCTCTACCTAGGAATAAGGACCTAAGGTCTGCGTACACAATACCTTCCCCGACCCTACTTGTGGGATTTACATTGGGTTTGTTATTATTGTTGTATCATTGATGTTTCCATTATCTTTAAAAATTAGATATACTATTTAATTTTAGTGGGTTTTTACTGCGTCGTTGTTGTTGTTGTAGTATTGTCCACAATAGATTGAAGAAAACTTAAAATGTGTTTTTTGTTTTATTTCAACATATATAGGTACCTTGCGCCAGAATATGCTTCGACTGGAAAACTGACAGAAAAATCTGATGTATATTCTTATGGTATTATGCTTTTGGAACTTATAACAGGACGTCGTCCTATAGATGTCAACAGTGACGGTGACAACTTAGTTGATTGGGTATATATATATATATATATATATATATTTTCATCTTTGCTGCTTTAAACAAATTTCCTTAATTAGTCTTAAATTATAACTTTATATCATTATTTATTTGTATATTTATATTTTCGTACATTCAGGCTAGGCCAATTCTTAGTCGTGCAACAGAGGGTGGAAATTATGATGAATTAATAGATCTACGCTTGGAAGGAAAATTTGATGCTCAGCAAATGCTATGTATGGTGACTTGTGCTGCTGCATCAATCAGACATTCTGCTAAAAGACGTCCAAAAATGAGTCAAGTAAGTTTTCTTTTCTAATATTTTCTATAGTACTCAAATCACCATAAAAATCACATTTTATTAGTAATTTGAATTTCCTAATTTAGTAAAAAGATATGTGAGTCATATGATATACAAAAAAAAAAAAATGTAGTCCGGTGCACAAAGCATTCCGCATTCACGCAAGATTTAGGTTATTGGGTTCTAAGTTAATAATTAAATAGATTTTTTAAGGCAAATACAAGATTTGAACTAAAGCTACTGCGTTCGGCTGAACCCGTTCCCGGCACTCTAGCTTTGCCCCCGAACGTAGACAGCCTAACCTAATGCAAGTATTAGTGGTTGTTTTTATGGCTTGAACCCTTTACCTATAGGTCACATAGAGACATAGAATATACGAGTATTAGAAATGGTTTGTTAATGATTGATCATAAATTTGCAGATTGTACGTACTTTGGAAGGTGATGTTTCCTTATTGGATGATCTAAATAAAGGATCAACACCAGGTCATAGTGGAATTCCTGGATCAGGAGAAAGTTCTGAATGTGATGGACGTTCATATGATATTAAAAAGGTCAAGAAATCTGAAATATCAAGTGAAGAATTCACAAGTAGTGAACATGGCTCGACTGGTGAATTTGTCCATTCCAGAGGTGAAGCTTAAGAACTTTGTCCTCTTGGAACATAGATGAGTAGAGTTCAAATTTAAAGAGATAACAGCGTTACTATTTAGGAAACAACCTCTTTACCTCCACAGAGTAGGGGTAAGGTTTGCGTACACACTACCTTCCCCAGACTCTACTTATGAGATTATACTGGGCATGCTATTATTGTTGTAATAGCGTTACTTTGTTTTATTTATTGTAGACACAACAAGTACCTTCAATCAAGACTTGAAGGATGCTTTAGGTACTGAAAACTAGTTTTTTGTATATATACTTCCACCATGAAACATAGATTAGACTGACGGGTAAATGTATAGATCTGCTCGTCAGAAGCAGCATGACATAGTGATTTTATAGGTTAAATTTGTTTATAAGTTGAGTCATTTTGTTCTGTTTTGGAATTTAAGACAACAATAGTGCACTTTTTTTTCTTAGTTGTACCGATAGTATTAGTGTCGGTATGATATCTTTTTATTCTCAAATTGCTATTACTACTTACTACTTACTGTTTGATTGGTATATTTTACTTCAATATTTTTTAATATCTTATTGTTGTTACGACTTATTGGCACTACTTCTTTTCATATTTTTCTAGCTAAGAATCTATTGAAAATAACCTTCCAAGATAAGGGTAAGTTCTATTCCCAGGGTTTGTTGTTGTAGTAGTAATAGTGCACATTATCAATAAGTCATGTTTCTTAATTGAAGTTACATAACGTACCGATTTGTCAATTGCTAGTATATGTACTATACATTTGTAGGCAAGTTTTAGCTAAAAGCTAAACCTATGCGGATATCTCGCTGTCACATTATCCTACTGTTGGTTCTTATCTACTTAAGCGGTTTCAAAAAATAGTTTTTGGTAGACAACAAAATGTAATTTGACAAAATATAAGAATGATGAAACCAAACTGAGTTATGTTTACATTTTTAGTTTCTTTTGGAAAGGTTTAATTAAGAATGATATTCTGAGGGAGTACATTAGTTCAGCTGAAGGAATGTAGAATCCAAGTGCAGATCTTATGTACTGAGAAATAAGAGATTATAACAATGAACAGTACGACAACATTATATTGACAAGTATTTCGCTCACAATCACAATACTGTCTAATTTAAAATCTCTACTTAACCGCCGAATAAACCATTAGTAAAAACAGTACCACATCTAAAAGGAATATATGCCGAGAAAATTGATAGCTTACAAAGATCAAGCTCTAGTACAAAAAAACGGACGTGTTACAACAACAAGAAGTCACAAAGACACTCAGTTTGAGAAAACTGCCAACAGGAGATGCGGACAAAAAGGCACAAGATACAATGACGAGAACATAACTTACACTCAAGAAAGAAAACAATCAACCACCCTTTAAAACTCTTCTAAAGAATCAAATTGGTAAATAATACGAAAAGCATAAGAAATTGAATATGGAAATTGTCACCAGTTAACCTCCAGAATGGGAGACAGGTGTAGTCACAAATTGGCCATCCTTGTATACATGAGAAAATTGCTGCGGCAAAGCATGCTCACCCTGCAATAATTGCCCATATTGAACTAGTTCGACCTCATCACAAAGACAAAAAGTAAAAGATGCCAAGTGCTGTTCATCTAAAGCTGATTGAATAAGACGAAGGAAATATCATCATCTTTTGCAAGGAGAAGAAGGCGTCTTCAGATTTACTTGCGTGTGTGAAACTCAAGATGTTGCCAAAAGAACCCAATGAGAAAAAGAAAAGAAAGAAAAACACGACAAGAAGATGAGAATATCAGACATAGTGGGATCTTCTTTAAAAATACATGGTTTGGCTTCAGCTCAGCGCTTAGCTCACAGCTTACCTTACAGTTTTTAGATGGTGTAAAGTATGTACAGAACTATGCTTGAAACCTATAACAGAAAGCTCAGATTATAAGCATCAACAGCTCCTTTTCTGTTTTGTCACGTATCAAAACACCAAGGTGGCATTTGTCAATGAGTTCACTTGCATATAAAGAGGTTGCACGCTGCAAGTTGGCGTTTGTGAAATTGAGAACAAAATCTAAACTTGAACTTCGAAAGAAACTTTCAAGTTGAATTGTGGTTTGAAGTTTCAAAATCTACACCCACAAATTGATCTTCTACTTCCACAAACTTTTCTTTTTCAAAACATAACTTCACTTACAGAACTTTTTACCAAATTCTGATTTAAATAATTTTTTCTGACTTCAACTTCAAATATATATGTCCAAAAATTGCATGAGTTATCTTCATGCACACACTTGTAAGCATATTTCAATTACGCACTTGTTACCAAGTGAGATGTCACCGACTATGCTTTTTGGAGGTCATTAGCTTCTAAGTTCATTCACATCTGATTTTGATGCTTAGCAGTTAGCACAAGCACAAAAAGAAATACATGAATAGATAATTAAGAAAAAGGAAAAAAGAACATACCCAATCACTATCAGGTCCAGCACCAGGAACCAAAACATTGATTTCACTTGACTTGGCTGTTGTAATGGAAGTCTCCAAAGAACCATTGCTCAAGTACAACTGGCATCCAGTTGTATTATCGACTGAAATTGTTGGTGCTGAACCCTAAAGAGCCCACACAACAGAAAAAAATACAATCACGAGGTCATGATACATAAAAATGAAGTTCAAATAAAAACATCAGTAAACCTCAAAGGAAAGCATTATTTGTATACCTGACATTGCACCTCCACACCATTGCAGTTGACAACCTCACAAGCTGCCACAACATCCTGTCCACCAAATTTATAAATCAAAATAAGCGCTTAGGTATAGAAAAGAACTATTAAAACTTGAACAATGTATTCCCTCCTTTTGAAGTCAATCACTGACCATGAATACAACTCCCATTTTAGTGCACTTATCAACTGTTATGTTGTTGACTTTCCCTGTGACATCAAACAAAGATCATCTCTGCATATTAGAACACTGAAAACCAACTTATCGTTCTCCAGATTGTACCAGTACTTTATATTAGAGGAAAAACGAAGTTACCTTGGATCTGCAGAACTGAATCTTTGCAACCAAAAATATAAACAGATTGCTTTGCATCGCAATCATCAATGACTAGATTCTTTTTTCCTATATGATTCTCGACCACCCATCTGGAGCAAACACAACATCAAAGTCAGAAGCATATTTTCCTAATCTCAAGCATGGATTAATTGAAAGCAGAAGTTTTACTCACTTACGACCCATCTGAAGCTCCAATTTCGGAGGTCCAGCTTTAGAGAAAGAGGGTGAGCTAACACGACCTTCCTTTCCTCCTGCACTAATGACACCAGTTCTGTCTGCCCGGTTCTTTGTCTTCATATCATCTGTCACCTTTCTCAATCCTAGACAAAAGAAGAAAAAAAAAATCAACTAAGGGCAAAATGATATCTACATTAAACAGGAGGGGCGGTAGGTGAATTTACCAGAAGTCACTGGCTTTCCCGAATTAATTTCATCAAAAACAGCTGCCATCCCTTTCGTTGGACGTGATGATGAAGCCTGGGGAGATTCAGAGCTCAACAGAGAAGCTGGCGGTGGAGGAGGAGGCATGGGAGCACTTGGTGTGGGAGCTTTTGGTGGTGCAGATACAGCAACTTTCCCTGTAGCACTCCATACAGGACCCAATGGATAGTGACTCTTAACATAATCTCGCAAGCCAGGGAGATAAAGCTCTTTCAAGGCTTTTGCCCATTCAACATGATTCGAGTCTTTGTTTCGGAACTCCACAAGGACCTATATATCATGAAATTTAATAGAAGTTAGAACAGTATTACAATTTATATTGTGCGCTATTAATGAGGGCAAAATAACAAATATAACAGAAACCAAACAGCAGAGAATAAATAGGAATATGATCTTCCAGCTCGGAAGAAAATTCAAAGAAGAAAATCCTTTTCAATCAAGGATTGAATGGACTTGGTTACTGTTTTATTCTAGCTGGCAACTCAATCAACTCTTGGTATTTATTTTTTTCATTTTTGTTTTGGAGTCCTAAAATTTTGGAAACAAAGATGAAATACATTTTGTAAATCCCCAAGGAGATGACGTCGTGGTTGAAGAATGGGTGTAATAACCTAGAGCTTCCAGGTTCAAATCTCAACTACAACACTAGGGTGAGCTTATGTGCTCTGACCTTGACAGGCAAGATTAATTTGGCAACCTTTAGTTGTGGGCCGGACAGGTTTAAAGGTGAACTAACCGAGGTGCGAAATGTGGGGCCCAAACACCACCGACTAAATACATTTGATAAGTAGCTTCTTTATTTTCAAATCAACACCAACAACTACACATCAACCAAAAATAGTTGGGACAAAGGAGAATGTCTTGATCAGTGATTGTTTTCAGACCAAAAAGAGTGGATGTTACACTTGTTCGGGAACACTTCCACATACAATTGGCTAAAATTTCACCTTCTCTTGTCAATCCTTTATCCTTGAATAATGATTGTTTTCAGACTAGGTTGCTCGGACTCGGGTGCGGGTGTCCGATACGGGTGTGGATCTAGAGCTCGGATCCTTCATGATCTAAACTTTAAGATTCGGGTAACATATCGAGGTACAAATACGGGTGTGGGGATTCGGCTAAAAATAATTCAAATATCTAAAAATACAACTATAAAAATATGTCTAAATTATGAGATATTACGTGAAAAACTTACAAGGTATTCCAAGAAGGAGAAAATATTGATCAAGAGGAGAATCCAAAGGAGATAAAAGGAAAAGGACTGACATAGAAATTTCTACATACAACGTATTCCAATTTTTTTTAATTCCACCCTAGCTTTTGTTTTGATTTTAGAAATAATTGTATCTCTCTCGATCTTTTTTTTCGAAGTTATACCTATCCCGAATTTCTTGGTCGATTTTGGTCAGAGCACCCAAAATCGGTTGATCCGGTACAGATAGCACACCCACATCCACACTAACACTCACGTCGTGTTGACACGGTGCGGCACCGAAAGTGAAGAGTCCGAGCAACTTAGTTTTCAGAATAATAATAAGTGGATTTACACTTGTTTGGGAACAGTTCTACAAACAATTAGCTACAAATTCACCCTCTCTTGTTAATCCTTTATCCTTGCCACCACTCTAACCCTCAGCCTTCATTTGGTGATTCTGGATTTGACTTCCTCATGGAGCCCCTCACACAAATCGAGAACTTGGTAATGGAAGGCCTTGATTTTCTGTTAGAATTCCGAGATCAGATACCACCAATTCCTAGGAGGCCTCTAGGAATTCTGAAGTATTCACTTTGTCCATAGGTACTTTCGGCCCTTTCGACCTCTCCTCCCTCCTTATAGATTGAGTTCACACCCCTCCTCCACTCTTTTAGATGCCCGTCATCCTTCACTTCAAATCGCAACAACCTCTCATGATGTTTTTTAAGGGGATTCAGACTGCTAGACAATACAGACTTTGACATATGTCTGCTATGTTTTGTTCAGTCAAAGCAGACGGAGCTGAGCACTTAACAGATTGCTT